ATTTTGTTCCAATTCCTGAGCAAATGGTTGACTGGTGACGAAAATGTTCAATTTTAACGTATCAACGTTCATTGTCAGTGTTAGATCGTTCTGCCACAAAAAAAAAAGTTCCTAAAGTTCTTTTTTTTTTTGCTGGAGATGAGGGAGAATGTAGCGTTTACGCTACATCTGATTAACCCCTTTAGAAATTTTTATTACCCGCGTACGATCGATTTTAAATCGACATTCCTTCACCTACGCGCTGTTATCGCTTTGAAAGGAAGATCGATTTTATGCGGAAGCCGAACGATCAGTTTTGGTCAGAACTCGAACGCAGCCACGTCAGCCGGTGAAATTTTTCACCTTCAAAGTGACGGAATTGGAGCAGAAAAATAATTTGGGGAAGAATAAAATAGAAATATTTATAATAATAATTAATTTTCTTTAAAATAAGTAATTTGTATAATAAAATCAATATTCATTTATGAGTTCCACATAAAAGGAAGATTTTTTTGGCGTGCTGCAGTTCCATATTCCGTCACGTGAAAATATTAATTTCACTTCACTTGAGGATATTCTCTTCAGAATATTCCCTCAAGGTCTCAAGTAACTAAATTTCTTGAATAGTTAGCAAACCCGTGGATTTTGCTGTCACCCAGAGACCAGTGACTGGTTGTGGCTTTTGTGACCAGGATTCGTCTTTACAGCCCTAAACTGATGTAGCCGTGCCAAGAGGAGTTTTTCCTATGGACTTATAGTGCTGTAAAGATAAGTCGTTTAACTATTTGACTTTTTGTATTACGTATTACTTTCTATTTACTGTTAACTTCTCATATGCATATGATCAAGTAACTACATTTTGATAAAATATAATTTTGATATTATTGGGAGAGGGAAAATATATTACCTTTTTTTATTAGTTTTTTTTTAAATAGGATTTTAAGAGTACTGACCAAACTCACTTTTGCTATAATATTTTTTTTTATACAATACATTAGATATGATACAATTTAATATTGGGAAAGGGAAATAAATTTAATGTTTTTTTTTTTAAATATGATATAATGAGTATGGAACAACTCACTTTTTGGATGTAATATATATTTAATATAATTGTAATAGAGATTTATCAAGTTTGATATCTTTACAATATTGTTATTTGTATCTCATTTTAGTCGAACTATTTAAGTTAAATTACTATCTTTTGTGTGTTAAGACTTTGGCTACAATACGGACTATTCTAGGTTACTAATATTTTAAACTTTATTTGGCCAGTGGTAGTGATTATTCTCTTGTTGAGGGGCTATTTGGTCCTATTATATCTTTACACACCCACTACCACTGGGTGATACTGGGATCGAGACCTGATCAAGACCTGTTCGAGACCTGATCGAGTCCTGATCAGAACCCGATCGAGACCTGATCAAGACCTGTTCGAGACCTGATCGAGACCTGATCGAGGCCTGTTCGTGACCTGATCAGAACCTGTTCGAGACCTGATCAAGACCTGTTCGAGACCTGATCAAGACCTGATCTAGTGCCGTTTCTATGCCGCCATCGTTGTTTTTTGTGTCTACATATTCGTCTGCCCCTCCCCTTTTCATCGATATCTTACACATTGTTATACGTTGAGCCGTTTAGCCGGTAACAGCTTAGTGCCGTTTTGGCAATACCGCTATCTTTTGTTTTTCTTTCTATGTGTTCCCCGTCCCCTTCTTGGTAGTTTGGCGCCTCATACGTTGCAATCGGACCAATAGACCCGGAGATACGTTATAGTGCCGTTTTGACTATGGCGCCATCTTTGTTTTTTAATTCCACGTGTTCCCCGTCCCCTTCCTGTTCGTTTGACACCTCATATGAAAAACGTCAAAAATGAGCAGAATGAACCTTAGCTATTTCCCCATGTTAATTTCCATAAGAGTTGCGCTCGTTTCGGTGCTGCCCCTTTACTTATAAAGCTAGCTATAGATGCTGCTAAAATTAGTGACCAGGAAACACAAAGCGAAGAGGACCCATTTTTAGATTCTGGATCAGACTACACCCCAGAATATGATTTCCCCTCAGACGAAGAAAGTTCTAAAATTTTAAATAGAAAGAGAAAACGATCCGTTGTTAAGAAAGGAAAACAAGGTAATAAAATATTAAATCAAAATGCACGTACGGTTTTTAAAAACCAAAAGCAAGATGTAATACGACCTGGTCGTATTACTATGGTATTTTAGTAAATATGTAGATAATATGGTCGCTTTAGAAAACCAGAAAGTACACAGTATAAAATGATTGAATGATTGTCATTGTCAATGATTTAAAACAAAACATTGCTTTTCATCCCTAGAAAATATAACGTAATAAATAATCAAAATATTCTTTTTATTTACGAAAATATAAAAATAATCTAATTTTTGTCTCATGTGTTTTTACACAATTCAATATTTTCTTTAGAAGTCACAATGTTCTATATTTTGGTAAGTAAAAACTTTTGTATTTTTAGAACAAAAGAAAAAGCAAACACAAAATTTTATTGACGTAAACGACCCTATTCATATGATTGAAAATGAACCAAAAAATAATAAAATCGAAGTAGTAGAAGAACAAACACAATATGTTATTGACCTAAATGATCCTATTCATATGATTGAAAATGAACCAAAAAATAATATAACCGAAGAGGTAGAAGAACAACAGATTACTGGCAAGACTTAAGCAAATTGTATGGTACCTACTTGATAATAAAAATAAGCGAAGTTTGACATTATTTTGGTCAGAAAACTTGTTTTTCTGCTAGATAAATGTTTATTTTTTAGGCATTATGGGAGAAGAAAATGTAAACATTCCTAAGGTTAATGTCAACCAACGGCTAATAAGTGATAAAAAATCAAGGAAGCATAAAGCTCACCCACAAAATTGGAAAAGAAACATAAATATGTTAAAGAGAGAAAAAGGAGAAGCATATACTGACTATAAAAATAGACACGTCCCAAAAAAATCGTCTGCAGTTGGAATACCACTGTGCACAGCAAAATGCAGACTAAAATGCAATATCAGCTTTGACGATACGGATCGAAATACTGTATTTAATAAATACTATTCACTGCCTATCATTGATGAAAAAAACGTCTACCTCTTTGGTTGCCTTAAACCATTTGATGTTAAACAACTAAGTTGTACAAATGCTGTTCGCCAAAAATCGTTCAAATATTTTGTAACTTTAGATGGACAGTCAAAACAAGTGTGCAAAAGTGCATTTTTAAAATTATTTAATGTCGGAAAAGAGAAAATTGAGTGAATTCGTAATCAAATTTCTCAGGGACAAACTATCCCAAGTAAAGATCAGAGGGGTCGCCATATGACCCGCAAAAATCAAACACCCAACGAGCAGTTTGACATAATTCGTCAACATATTAAATCGTTTCCTGCAGAAATGTCACATTATTCGAGAAATAAAAATGAACATCGTCTGTACTTATCGCCTATGCTGTCAGTAAACAAAATGTATGAACTATATAAGAACCAGTGTTCTGAACAAAATCTGCAATTTGTCAAAAACAGTCGATACAGACAAATTTTTGTTTCTGAATTTATCTTTGGTTTTGGATCTCCAAAATCAGATACCTGCAAGGTTTGTGACTCTAAAGAAAATAATGACGAACACGTTAGGCGCTACAAAACAGCATTTGAAGAACAGAAAAAAGACAGAAATTTGGCAAATGAGGGTACCATTTTGTACATAAATTTTGATATGCAAAAAACATTGCCTTTACCAAAGCTGTCTACTAGTGTTGCCTTTTATCTTAGACAAGTGTGGCTATATAATGTGGGTATTCATTGTGTAAGTAAAGGTGATAGTTTTGGTAATGGGTTTTTTTACCTCTGGGCTGAGGACAAAGGTGGTAAATCCAGAAGAAGCGGGAAGTAGTATTTTATCGTTCTTTCAAAACATTAATATTGAAAATAATCATTTAGTAGCCTGGAGCGATTCTGCAGGTGGACAAAATAAGAACTTTTTTATAGTTTGTTTATGGCATTACCTAGTTCGCCAAGGGACTTTTAAAATTATTGACCATAAGTTCCCTGAGGTTGGCCACAGTTTTATGGATATTGACAGAGACTTTAAGGCTGTCGAGAAAGTTATCCAAAAAGCTTAAAATATTTATACGGTAGACCAGTACATGATGTTAATGAGGGAAGCTAGAAAAAGGAATCCATTTGGATTAACTAGAATGGAAGATAAATTTATTGATTTAAAAGAATTGCCACGAAAGTTAAGTTTGTTTGACAGAAAGAAAACTAACAAGGGGGAAAAGATACTTTACCGCAATGTACGATGGATAAGAGTTGATGAATTTGGTATAACAAAATATAGATATTCACTAGATCAGCACGAATAGTGGAAAGAAGTAGATATTATTAAACACAAACCAACCCGCGCAACAGAAATACACGAAGATCTGTTAGTTCCATCAAATAAATCAAGGTCTATAGCAACCAAAAAATTTGATAACATTCAAGAGCAGCTCCCATTTGTTCCGGAGAATTTACGGGGATTTTATATAAATTTAAGTCGATCTGAAAGTGATTAGTATTAAGTATACTTACCTACTTTTATATTTATAAATTACCACATTTTTGTATTTCTTTTTATCAATAAATATAAGTTAATTCTTTCTTTATTGGTCATTATTTCGAATAATAAAATAAATGACTGTGCATAAAGGTGCTAACTCAATTTTTTTGTAAAAAAAATTAAAAAACACATATAACATAAAAAAAATTTTGTACAATCTAATCGTCCTTTCAAAATTACTTTTATTGTCTGTATATTCGTGCAATTTGATTTTAATTTTATGTTAAACAAAAAAAGCTCCGACAATATAACTGTAAACCTTAATATCTCAAAAGTGTTAAAAAGTGACTTGACACCTTCATGCAGTTATAGCTTCAATTGTGTTTAGATTTTTTAAATAAATAGTTTGTTTAAAATATTTGTTTTTTATTTACTTTCTGGTTATTGCATGATCAACATGTCGTACACTTTTGTGTACGACATGTTGATCATGTACGACATGTCGTACACTTTTGTGTGTGGAAGAGAGTCAGTGTTATCAACCAAAATATATCCTCCAATTATTTTAAATGAAAATGAACAGTATGTACTAGGTTTAATAGATTTTATGTCATACAATACAATTCCAAATGTAGACCAAACAAACAACAAGTTTCATATAGATGGTTATGATATCACAATTCCCGAAGGTTCGTATGAGGTGGAAGATCTTTCAAATTATTTGACTAAAAAAATAACCGGGTTAGAATTAAAATTAGATCAAACACCAGAAAAAGATGAGACAGACATTGATAAAAATGCAAAAGGAAAGAAGCAAAATTTAGTTACTCAAGGAAGAAACGCAAAAGCTAGAAAACAGCATAATATGGATCAACCTACAAGTCTAATAATGAGAATTAATAACAATACACTCAAATGTGAAATAAAAAGCAACAAAGTAATCCATTTTGAAAAACCAAATACCATTGCTCCCTTATTGGGATTTACATCAAAACGACTCTCACCTTTGAAGACTCACGTAGCTGAGAATCCTGTGCATATCACAAAAGTTAATTCAATTTGTGTGGAATGTAATATAATCACTAACTCATACATTAATGAAAATCAAGGTCATATTATCCACATGTTTTATCCAAATGTTTTACCAGGATACAAAATTGTTGAATTTCCAAAAAAAGTAATTTATTTACCTGTCACCAATAGATACATTGATGAAATTTTTATTAAAATAGTCGATCAGGACGGTAATCTTGTCAATTTCACACGAGAAGTTATTACGTTAAGACTACATTTAAAAAAAGTATAAACAATGGTTGTTATATACAGTTGTAACAAATTTAATCCAAGTTTGGACAGTGTGTATAATATTAAAAGTTTTGATAAAAACATTAGTGATAAGCAGATGCTCAAGCCGTTAACAACAGAAAACAAAATATTTTAACCTGACTAGGATTTAAAATAAAATATAACGACAGTGACAGGGAAAAAGAAAAGAAATACTTGGTGTAGAATAAAGTTTTATATTAATACTAGAATACTTGGCATTTTCTTGAGGTGTACTTGTAAGAAGAATGAATATGAGTTTTAACATTTTAAATGTTGCAGATCGTGTGTTGGTTGACAATTCAGTTGTTAGTCGAGAAATGCACAGTCATTTACCCTATGCTAATGCAACTTTTAATCACTGTGATGAAATACGATTACCAATTCAAACTCAAGATATATACACGCTACTGTCGCCGAGCGCCGCAATCTCGCGCATCGACGTGCATCGTCCCTCCTTCTGGAAGTTTTAATAAATTCTATTGGTTAAAAATCGTAAAAGTTAAATATACTTTAAATATGGGACATTTTCGATTTACAGTCAGTGGTGGTTTTACTCTTACGGAGTAGCCGCAGGGCTCCTCGTTGGAGGACTCTGCAAAAAGTTTAAAAAGACTCTGAAGCTGAGTTTTTTTCTACTCAGAAATGGTTGTTTTTATTCCCTACAATAAATAACCCTTATGCATTTGTCTTTTTCAAGACAATGCCTCTACAAAACGTCCAGCGGATAAGTTTAATTTTATAAATACTTATCCCGCTCCGACGATACTACCTTCTAAGAGTTATTTGTATATTGAAGGACGTTTAACAAATGATGGGAAAGAAAGCAATACTTTACACTTTGTTAATAATGGTCTGATGCATTTATTTGATGAAATACGCTATGAAATTGGAGGCTGTGTAATAGATAGAGTGAGAAATGTAGGTATAACAACGACAATAAAAAACTATGCTTCGTTCACACAAACTGAATCTAATCGATACAACTGTATAGGTTGGAGTATTACTGACACACCAACTGTTGCTGATAAATCTGGAAATTTTAATGTTTGCTTTCCACTTAAACTTGTACTTGGGTTTTTTGAAGATTTCACCAAAATTCTAATTAACATACGCCAAGAACTCGTATTGATAAGAAGTTCAACAGATTTAAATGCAGTAATATCTACAGTAGAAACTGAAAAACCAAAAGTGGAAATATTTAAATTAATGTGGAAAATGTCTCATATTCAAGTGTCTGATTCAGAAATATTACGTTTATATAAATTTATTGAAAATGGATCCAATTTAGAGCTTGCATATAGAAGCTGGGAATACCATGAAATTCCTCTACTGCCTCAGACAATGAAATTTAACTGGAATGTAAAAACTACCAGCCTATTAGAGAGACCACGATTTGTTTTGTTTGCAGTACAAACTGCTAAAAAGAATGCAATAAAAGAAGACACCAGCTATTTTGATAACTGTAATATTATAAACTTAAAACTATTTCTAAATTCTGAAATGTACCCGTATGACAATTTAAACTTGAACTTTAGTAAAAGACAATGTGCCATTGCATATTAAATGTATGCACAATTTCAACCGTCGTACTATTACAAATCTGTTGGTGATCCATGCCTAACTATGTTACAATTCTGTGCTGTTGCTTCTGATTGCAGCTGACAAAATGAATCAATTAAATCAGGAAGTGTTGATATGAGAATAGAAATAGAAACTACAAAGAATATACCAGCTAACACAACTGCTTATTGTATAATTATACATGACCGTATTGTTAATTATAATCCTTTAACCAATGTAGTTCAAATGTTTTAACTGTAGTTCGTAGTAAATCTGTATTGTGGGTTTTAGTATAAATAAAAAGATAAAAAAAGTTTATTCTGTTCGAGACCTGATTAGAACCTGTTCGAGACCTGATCAAGACCTCATCAAGATCTGTTCGAGACCTGATCAAGACCTGTTCGAGACCTGATCAGAACCTGATCGAGACCTGATCAGAACCTGTTCGAGACCTGATCAAGACCTGTTCGAGACCTGATCAGAACCTGTTCGAGACCTGGTCTAAAGCTGATTGATTATATACCTACATTTTACGATGAATAAAGATTTGAAAAGACAACTTATAACTAAACGCAGAAACATCCAAAGTAAATTAAGACTATTAAAACAAGGACAAATAATCCAAGAAGATTTATTTACTCCAATTACAAAACACTTGAAAAATATAGAGAGTAAGTTAAATAGTTTGTAATGTGAGCGTAGCAAGTGAGTGAGAAGTTGGAATAAAGGAAGTAGCATAGAAAAAGATAATAATTATTCGAGATAATTATTATATATTCCAAATCAAATAAGGGATAATTATTACAGTAAAATTTGCATTTTAAATCACACAAAGAAATTGACCTAGTTATTGCATTGTTTGATAATTGTTTAAACGTATAAAAAGCACGAAACTATTGTTGTAAAAAAATAACAACACCCGTGACCCAAATAGGAGCAATAACGCCAAAACTACAATTCAGCAACCTTGGACTACAACCGGTCAATGAGGACACCATTTGATAAAAACCGAACTAAGGACGCCAGTGAGTTATTAGTGATACGGCGGTAGCCGTGAAGGCATCAATTGCCTGCTCCGGGTACTTTCGACGCGGTAGCGTCGGGTACGAAGTAGTTAGTAATCAGTAGTCAGTAATGGGCAGTCAGTAATTGCTGAGCTCCGGCTCGGACGCGATAGCGTCCTGTACGCGTCCAGTACGGGCAGTCGGTAATTTGAAACGCTCAATACTCCGGGAGTATTGGGTTTTTGGAAGTGTAGAACTTCATAATTCCAGAAGAACTGGAAGAGAGGTGATGAAAATACTAAAGATATGGCTAAGCTCAGAGGAACAAATTTAAATGGCCAAAGAGACACTAAATCTCAAGTGAGTGTTCGGGCTAGCTTCAATGCACTGGATTGTGGCTTTAAAGATATAAACAACAATAACAAGAGATAATGAGCTAATGAGACAAGAAAGAAATGAGACCTGGTAATATCAAACGTGATACAACTGAAGAAGGTCACTGGGAATAAATTTATAGAAAGAGAACAATAAGAAGAGAAAAGAAGGGCGCCAACTCAACGATAGTTGAGATTTTGAAGTAACAAATGAATCTGGAGATAATACTCTGAAATACAAAAATACTAAATAATAATCTTGTTTTGCTATGTTATATACTGGTTAGTAGAACTGAAATAAAACTCAAAATAGTAACAATAAATATATTTATAAAAAAGGTATATAGGTATATGTGTATAAACAATTTACATATAATGCAAAGCCAAATAACAGTGGTAGTGGATGGTGTACACATACAGTGGGACCTAATAGCCCCTCAACAAACGAATAATCACTACCACTGGCCAAATAAAGTATAAAATGTCAGTAAACAACAAGAATAGTCCGTATTGTAGCCTAAGTCTTAACACAAAAAGGTAGTAATTTAACTTAAATAGTTCTACTAATATGAGATACTAATGACAATATTGTAAAGATATCAAACTTGATAAGTCTATTACAATTATTATATTACATCCAAAAAATGAGTCTTTAATACTCTTTATATAATGTTTAAAAAAAACCACATGAAATTTATTTCCCTTCCCAAAATCAAAATTGTATTATATCAAAAATGTATTCTATTAAAAAAACTATATATGTATTAAATCAACAAGTGAGTTCGGTCAGACTCTTGAAATCCTAACTAAAACCTAATAACACATGAAGTGTCCTTTTCCCTCCCCAAATATTTTATAATTAAATTATCAAAAAAAAATGTTCACCTTGTCATATGCATATGAAGAGGGTATACTACTAAATAGGAAGTAACAAAAGTTAAACAATTAAATAGATAGTAACAAAAAAAAAAATTACACAGTCAAACAACTTATCCTTACAGCCCCATAAGTCCATAGGAAAATTCCTCTTGGCACAGTTACATCAGTTTGTGGCTGTAAGGACAAACCCAGGGGAGTCTAATTTAGTCAAACCAGGCACTGGTCTATCTGGAGTGACGGCAAAATCCAGGAGAGTTGCTAACTGTTTAAGGATTTAGTTACTAGTCCTTGAGGGAATATTCTGAAGAGAATATCCTCAAGTGAAGTGACGGAATCTAAAATTATTATTTAATTTAATAAATACAATTCAATAGGTGTAGCAGCATGGATTGACTGCACCAAAACAAAAACATCAAAATATCAGGTATTAGGTTAAGTCAACATCATGTCAAATTTATGAAGTTACTTTCGTAGGCATGGCAAGCTTGCGCCATGAAAAGAACATGCGCAGAATATAGAAGGCTGTCCACATTTGTAGAACCTTTTATATTCCACCAAAAAAAGTTAGGTAAAAAAAAACCAAAAAAACTTAATGGTAACGACATGGAATAAAACAGAATTTAAGTTTAACTATATATAAAAAAAATGACCTTCTGTTCTTTGCAAGTAAATCAAGGAAATTTTATATTTAAATTATTTCGGAACTCAAAAATAAATCTCTAAAGAAATACTAAATACAATGATAAATTTGATTATATGATAAGGAGATAATACGTATGAAATGATTTACTTACATGGAGCTGCAGCACGCCAAAAAAAATCTTCCTTTTATGTGGAACTCTTATAAATGAATATTGATTTTATTATACAAATTACTTATTTTAAAAAAATTAATTATTATTATAAATATTTTTATTTTATTCTTCCCCAAATTATCTTCCTTGCTCCAATTCCGTCACTTTGAAGGTGAAAAATTTCACCGGTTTGACGTGGCTGCGTATGAGTTCTGACCAAAACTGATCGTTCCGCTTCCGCATAAAATCGATCTTCCTTTCAAGGCGATAACAGCGCGTGTCGGGAAAAATGTCGATTTAAAATCGA